CAAACACTTTCAATGGAGCATGTACAGAAGAGGCACAAAAACAACCCGCAAACAATTTGAAAATTTAGTAGAGTTTGTGGAGGAAAATAAAGTTTATTTTCAAGACCATTTTCCTATTGTCCTAATAAACTTAACCTTATAAGACCACCAAAGGACATATTTTTCTTTTAAATTAAAAACAAATTATAGCTAAAAGACAAAACTACGCTCTGATTAAACACCATTGTTTTATTTATTCCCCGAAGTTAACTTCGAGGGATGCACGTTAAGTTCGAAAGCGGCATGTGATTTGATGCTGTTATTCTGAAGTGATATTTCTTCATATAACGTTCGTCGATAGCGTGCGCCTGTTATAATATAAAGGTTTTACTGATACAACACACCAGTTGGAGCCACATAACGTGTTTGACGGATAACATGCACGTTAAAGTTAACGTGAGTGATACAGCACAGGGCTGATTACCTAAGGATTCTTCAGATTATCGAATTAGAATTGTACATTACGCCTGGCTGCAGTCTTCAAATATATACATTGCCTGATTTCATTGCTTCCTATCTACCACTTGACTTGTTATTGAAGCATAAGCCGGTAAGGGGCTATTCAGCATTTCAACTATTGAATGACCTCAAACTTAAAGAGGTTTTCTACCTTAATGTTGGGTTTGCTCAAGGTTCGATTTTCCAAAAGAAATTAGACATTTTCACTATGAGCTACAATGCAAACCATTTTTTGTAGCTGAAAATGGGCTAGAATTGCTAAATAAATATTTAACGCAGTCTTCTAAAAATGTGGTTCTTGTACGTGAACGGAATTAATATGACCTACCCTAAAAATGCAGCACATTAACTTTCGCAGGTTGGAAACGATGTAACGTAAGTGGGAAGGCGTAAACCCTTGGAAAAGCGAAAAATCGATTCTGAAGCAAGAGAGAGACTGATGCCTTCACCGAAATTAGGGACATGTCGGAATTTAACGGAGGCGGGCTCAGAATAAGGCTTTTGGGTCATTCGTCTCTTTGCGACTAGAGGATCCTTGTTGACTAATGTGCTGTAAATTTGCTATGCAAGCAGTTTTTCCTGTATTTTGTCTTCCTTAAATCGTTTGCGAAATTTTGCCTTTCAAGGCTGGTTTTTGAGATGCAATTTATTTCATTAAATTTCAGAGCGCTAAAACTCGACGAGCGAAAACTGCATTTGGGATGGCTGAACTTTAACAATGTTAAGGGTTACGGTAATACATCGATTTAATATTAAGGGCATCTATTAACGTGTAATCATTGTTTTAAGTGTGACTTGTCAATGTTATAATTAATGTATCAATGGTATGCATATTACGAAACCTCGATTATCATCACAATCAGTTAGAATTTGCTGACAAATGTATATGTATATTATTTCTTATCCAACACCCATATTTTTTATAAAGCTTTCATTTCCAGCACAGAGACGTGGAAATCACTAAAATTGAGATAAATAACATCAGACACGAGTAAAAAGACGTACTCGTAATTTGCCATTCGTGCCCTGAGCAAACTCCACAGCAAATAAAAGCGTCGAACATTAAAAGCATTTTGTGCTGAAAACAGTAAGCCCCAAAACAATAGCAAATTTTCGGTAAAAATACGTCAAATTGAATTTTTATCCACGTTTGTGCAGACATTATTTCGTCGAAATATTTAAAATTGCTTTGTTCAAGATGTTTCACGGGCAATTGTTCAATACTGGTCATTGTTTGTTTGCAAATTTGCCGGCAATTATTTACGCCATATTATAAGATTTAACAAGAAAATAACATTCGGATAGATGTATTTTGAGTAGACGAAAATGTAATCTAGATCTGCAAATTAGAGTGGTCAATGGAATATTTTTTAGCAAATATATTCCCCATTCTAATAGATCTTAAGTTCACTAAATAGTTAAAACCGAAAAGTAGATTGTTTTTTATTGTGCAAATCCGTAGAAACATAAAGCACAAACATCTCAGAGCGACTCTTGTTACTTTGAATGCTCTTAGATGCATTGTATGGTATATTAGACCCACCGAATTAATATGAAACGAATCTTAGAATATTCAGTGTTTCCAGATTAATTTGTTCCAATTTAGTTGGTAGGAAGGCAAACATTCGAATTTCGAAGTTCCAGCTCAAAATAATTCCGAATTGTCTTTATATATCTATGACGTGCGTTCATTCTCAAGATTATTTGTCTCTGCGGATAATGGAGAACGCAGTGGCATGGAAATAATTTCCGAATGGAGAAGAAACTGAGCCTGAAAGTGTTTTGGGGTTGACGGGAATTTTCTCTAAGGGCACGTTTCTTTGCTGAATTTAGTCAAGTAGATATTTTAAATTGATGGGTAAAGCGGTTTTGTTATTTACGCAAGTTTTACAGCCAGTAAGGAGTCACTTAGCTACTGTAAATAAATATTGTTCCTTATGACGGTATTGCTAAGCCAAGATAATTTTCCGGTTCTGTTACACTTTAAGTACTTACAATTTGATATTGTACAGATTTACAGTTTTCTCTGATCTAGTTAAAAACAAATACTTAAAATCGAAGTTTGTTAGAATGGAAGGAGGCACTAAGAAAGGAGGAGAGGAATTAGTCCATTCTAGAATTGAACAAATTAAATTAACAAACCATAATCAAAGTGCTGATGTTTCTAGAAAAAAATTGTTTGTCCGATTTAAATTTACCAGGTGTTGTTGCAGTATAGGAAAAAACAACAAAGTTTGTTTCATCAGCCTTTGAAATAAAAAACAGAACAAACCATATTTACAAGCCACAAGACCTAAAACCTCTTCAGTGCTCACTATAATATAATGATGCTATTTTTAGCAAAATCCAATCGTTAAGTCATTTAAATCAACTAAAATTATATTTGATTTTTTCGAATAGCTCTGTTGCGTTTTTTGAAATATCTTATAAAGCCCATTTAATAACATGTAACAACGACGTTTTTCAGTTTGTTGATGATTTGTTACGAAATTATAAAATGTTAGGTTCATTCTGGATAAATGGGACTTGGAAACAATATGCACGTTGAATTTCAGATGCTATGACAATAAGTTTTATATTCTACTTTATCATGAACTTATTATAGCGAATGAATATCTACGCCTATAAGCAACAACAAGAAAATAGGCGAGTGAAAGACTGAATACGCTACTCAATAAAGTCTGAGGGAATCGCAAAAGAAGGAACGACGTTATTTTTCTAATATCTCACATAATGGATGAACATTTATAGCAGTAATGTTGATTTTTGTTATCTTTGATGCCGTTCAAGGACAAAACAAAAACGTTTGTGTTTTATAAAGTAAATAAATGCAAAATTTTATTCTGCTTCTAAATTTTCAATAAAAAATAGTTCATTGTCGGAAACCAGTTAATAATTGAAACATTATATTTAAATGTATGTAAGTACGATATTCGAAGTTTACAAATAGCATTGGCAAAGAGATCGGCCTGCATACAGGTACTAAAATCGAACCTACATAATTACAATACATTAAAAGTCATCAAATTACAGCTATTCCAAATCAAAATACATAGTCGTCGATCCTGAGTTGTTATTTCGTTCATCGATTAGTGAATACTACGTTTTTCAAACCTCTAATTCATTTAAATGCCATTGATTATGAACGTTGATATGTGTATTCCGTACATCAAGCCCAAACCCACTGCATTATTTATCAATAGATGAACCGATTGTTATTTATGAGTACTTTCAAAACCCTCCATAAAGCTCTTATGCAGCAAAACATGATTTTTTAAAAGATAACTTACGAAAATCTGGGCTTTCCCGAGTGTACCGTTGAGCAAATAGCAGGTTGACCTATCTATCCAAGGAGAGCGGAAAGTGCAATCTCGGCGCGAGTAAATTATTCAGGCTGCAATAAACCTCTAAAGACTCGTTCTAATCAAAAACCGACTTCTTTGCCATTGAATTTTTAAATCCACCTCGTTGTGTAGAGCTAAAGACGCCCCTTTGACGTTCTCAATGAGTTTTTTTGCAAATATTCTTCTATGGCACGAATATTTTAATCGGCTGTTTTTTGTGAACTGTTGCTGAAAGATTGCAGGGAAAACATCCTATACTGCAGGCGATTGGTATTTTTCATACTGAACTAGTCGAAAATTTAAGCTCCAGCAAATATACTTAATTAATAGGCGAGATAATATATGAAAATGCGAGTTTTCACTTAATTCAAATGCTTCTCATGGACAATTCAATCAAAATGTCTTGTCTCGCAAACATAATTCGAACAAGTAGCAAGTTTCCAACTATGGCATTTTACTCGATAGAATCGCCAATAATTTAACAGTTTGGATTTGTACAGCAGACATACACTTTACATTTTTACATCAATTTAATCCCATTTTCAAACGATTGAAATACGGCCAGTACAATTACGTAACTTTTACCTAATAATGCCATCAGAACATTGATGATTATCCGGATTTACTAAAAATGTATAATGCATATCGTTGTTACACCGTACTTATAATTTATCAGGCTATTTCGTAATTACTTTTTTTGTTGCAGATAAAGGAGTATGAAAAACTGGAATCGCATGGAGAGCGACAGGAAAAATCCAAAGAAATTTACGATAATTTTATTATGAAGGAGCTCTTAGCACGGACGCATGTGAGTTTTCCGTTAATTGGCTAATTAACAACGCAACGCATGTCATAAAACTTTCGTAATTGGCCACATGGCAAGGTAACAGGAAAATATACAGGGCGGTTTAAACAAAACGTATTAGAGCAAATGGCTACAGACGAATCATATGAAGAATCGGTTATTCGAATTTTTTTTAATTACTATCTTTTATATACCTATATAATAGTTTTGCAATTTTGTGTAGGTTTAAAATATTACATGTCTGGTAGCCTCCCCAAAACGTCATAAGAATGTTTAGGACTGGTTTATAAAATATCTGCGTTGTCTCTAAAAATTGATGGCTTAAAAATCAATTTATTAAACTATTTTAATATCCAGGCTTAAAATAAACTGTTGATGACAGCAATTTTTTGCACGGTTTTTGGGCACAGTTGAATTCAGTATTAATTATTTATTAATAATAATTAAATACAGAACAATAGCGTATTAAAAACGATTTACTTTTCGTGTATGTGAAATGTTTTAATCAATTTATTTCTTTAAATCGTTTATTTCAAATGTTTATTGAAGTTTACTTCATAACTTCGAATTAAAAACGAATTTGTCGAATGTCAAAATTTCAATTTGAATTCTTTAAATACAGGCTGTTCCGTAAGAACATTATCAAAAGGATACTGCAATATTATTTGCATCAAAAGAGGACGATCTGACCTAACTTTTATCAACAAAAAATGTCTGGCACCGTTATTGATGGTTAAAGTTCTTCAAAAAAAAATATATTTTTTTGAAATATCGGAAGAATAATATTGTATTTTAATTGTATTTTAGTGAAACTTTCTGTGAATTCGTTCTTATGCATGACTCATAGTTTGAAGAAACAATCGAGTTCATCCGTTTTCAACAAGTGGTGAATTCTTGTATGTCGTGGTATAAAAACTACCAGAACTTTTCATTTGGTGGATAAAATAAACTAATTTTTTTTGGTTGATGCACTAATCATTTATTCACAATTTAGTGCTCTTTGTAAACTCTTGTAGGATTCATAGTTTTTGCGAAAAAAAACCATTTCTGTTATCTTGCCACTTAACAATGTTAGACATTAACTGCCTGAATTCATATAAAATTTTGTATTAACTTTATTTTGGGATTGAAATTCTCACCCATGACCAAGAGTGATTTGAGAGTAGCATACTTACATATAATTACATTAAAATGTGTTCAATCTGATTTTAGAGTAAAAATAAAATATTTTCGAGGTATTCCAGGGACAAGTTCCTCTCAATTTATTATATTTCATGGGGAGTTTATTTGCTTGCTGAAGTATGTTTGTCTTTAGACTAATTTTTATTGGATCGTGTCCCTGTTGGGTTATTATATGAGACTGTTCTACACATTGTTTTCCCATCTGCAAATATCATGTTCGTTTTTTTTTATTAGGAAAACCAAACATACTTCCACAGTTAATTTTAACAACGCCGTAAGAGTATCATCTTTCGTTGATATCTGACATTATGTTAGCAAGTTAGGAAATGGTTCATACCATAAAAGCTTTTTTTATGTGATGAATGTTGAATATTCTAACCGATTCCTTCAGAAGTACTGTAGCTTTCGCTCGTTATGGATATTTTTCTGTTCCCTAACGAATTAATATTATATAATCAATGTTTACTATCTATAGCCACGTTTACTTACAGGAGTATTCAAAAGAGGCCCTTCAACACGTTCAGGATCACCTCATCAAGCAACAAGCACCTGCGGCGGTCTTTGAGGTAACTATAGTCGAAACTTCGAATCGACTTTATCACCAATGATTATATTTAAGCACGGCATTTTGCTAGTCTCAATAAAATGCAATTTCGTGGCAAACGAGTCGAAATAAAACCACGTTTTGTATTTGTCCAACAGAATTACAGCAAAGCTTTAATGGCAAAAGTTTTGCTGTTTAGCAGTCGTTAACTCCCCATTCCGAATTCCATTTTACCACAAAATCCTGCATTTCGTAAATCGCTTGTTTTGAAGCCGGATAATTTCCTAATGCAACATTATGTTCACTGAAAACTTTTTTGGGTACGTTGCGACTAAGACTAAGCTAGTATTTAGTGTTGGAATTTCTCGTTCGATTCGACAGCCTGGGTATTGAAATAAGGGAATTAAGATTTCGTATGCACTGAAATATCTAATTTTAGCAGAAAGCTTGGAATAGTTGGTAGTAATTCGAACCAGTAAAGT